GCAGACCTCACAGATCAAACCATTTCACCCATAAATGCTTCTGTTGACATTGCTAACAGATAACGAACGGCCTTCTCCTTGGAACGAAACCATGACAGCATTACCACATCCAACAAAATTAATTCTTAATAGTATCTGATACCAAGGTCAAGTTCAATTTTCCCCAACTGTCTCAATAATGTCTTTTTATAGTGGGTTTGTTCACCTAAGGATTCAAATATGAACACATACTGTATTTTGTCGATAGATTACTTAGGTCTCTTTTTCTCTATAAAGCTGTATCATTTTTTTCACCCACCACTAGCGCACATTTAAATTCTAATTGGCCGAGTAAACCTTGTTGTTGCTGTCTTTAGGTGCCGTCGAGCTGGTTTCGATTCATAGCAACCCTACGTACAACAGAACGAAATGCTGCCAGGTCCTGTGCCATCCTTACAATCGTTGCTGTGTTTGAGCCCACTGTTGCAGGCACTGTGTCAATCCATCTTGTTGAAGGTCTTCCTCTTTTTCACTAACCGTCTACCAAGCATGGTGTCCTTTTCCAGGGAATGGTCCCTGCTGAAAACATGTCCAAAGTACACGAGATGAAGTCTCGTCATCCTCGCTTCTAAGGAGCACTCTGGCTGCACTTCTTCTAAGACAGATCTGTTTGTTCTTCTGGCAGTCCATGGTATATTCAATAATCTTCACCAACACCACAATTCAATTATCTTACCAAGAGTAATATCTCTAGGGTCTCCATACGCTCTAAATTAACCCAGTCAGAGGCCCTTAAGCCCCTAGAAATAGACCCATACAGCTCCACCTTCCATGTGTGATCCAACACCAGGACCGATACGCCAAGCCATCCCAGACACTTTCTGCTCTCAGAGAAGGAATTTAGATTGTTTTAGCAAGCCAATTTTCTAAAATTAAATCTTTTCTGTGTTGCGATGGCCCGAAGACTCTGAATGATTTAAAAAACAAGGCACCCATTCATTACAGCTGCTTTCTAAAGTCAGCCAAATCTAATCAAGAATCACAAAGTCAATCAGACAAGCCTCGTAATCCATTATCGTTAACAGTAACAACATTAATTGAACACCTAGATCACGCAGGGCCTTAGGTTATAAGACGCCTGGTTCGCATCCCTGCCCGAACGGACTTACAGTCTAAACGCAGATGTCACTCTGCCATTTAGACAAAAACACCCAAGAAGGACAGACAAACATAGTACCGCCCACGCTGACACTCAGGCCCCTAACCACTGGGCTAGGAATATTTGTGAGGTCGGTCTGTGTGGTGTAATAAAAAGAACGAGAGACAGAAGGAACAGAGTTTGAGCGCTAATTCTATCATTTATGAGCTGTGCCACACTGAGAAGTTACTTTACCTCTCTGAGTCTAGGTTTTATCATTTGTGAACTAGGAATAATGCCATCTACCTCATACAATAGTAGTTGTTAACACTGAATTCGCACATCTTATATGTAAGCCTAGCAACAATGGCTGAACCCCTGAAACTACTGCCCTGAGACCGTCTTTAAACCTTCAACCCAAAATATCCCCTGAAGTCTTCTTTAAACCAAACAACAGTTAAGCTTAACTAGTAAAGAATATCTGCTTTGAGCCCTATGCTTTTTTAAGATCTATCTATATAGGGTTGCTGTGAGTCAGAATCAACTCGACAGCATCGTTTTTTGTTTTTTAATGAGATCAAATTAACAACAGCAACTCCAAAGATTAGAGGGGAAACTTAGGGGGCAGTGAGTTTATGCCCATGGGGGAGGAACAACTCAGAAAAGGAGGGTGAGAATCGTTGGACAACTTGAAGAATGATCAGTGTCACTGAATTGTACAGACAGAAACTGTTGAAACATCAAAAAAAGCCTAGCAACAATGATGAGGAAGCCATTGGATACAGTACTACGCCAGGCACTGGGCTAAACGTTTCACATGTATCATCCCATCCAATCCTCACACAAGCCATGAGGCAACTTCTGTGATTATGCCCTTTCCAGCTGAAGAAATTAAACAGAGTGGGTCACTGATCTGCCTCAAGGGGACACAGCAAACAGCACAGGAGAACAGGATGTGAGTGACGGGACTTCAGGGTTCTTGCATGATAAAAAAAAAAAAAAGTTGCAGTCAAGTCGATTTCAACTCCTAGCGACCCTATCGGACAGAGCAAAACTGCTCCATAGCATTTCCAAGGAGCGACTGGTGGATTCGAGCTGCTGACCTTTTGGTTAGCAGTTGAGCTCTTAACCACTGTGCCACCAGGGCTCCTCTTGCGCGATATGGCCTCCCAAATGCCATATGGTAAGGCTGAAGGGCAGGACCCAAGAAAGGCCTGTGATCTGCTTCTGAAAGGTCACAGCCTTGAAACCCTATGGAACAGTTCTACTTTGTAGCACATGGGGGTGCCATGAGTCGGAATGGACTCCAGGCATTGGCTTTTTTTGGAAGGGTGGAACCCAAGGCAGCAGCTTAAGTAGCGGGGTGGG